TTAAAAATTAATTTTAGACAAATTTCTTTACACATTATTCTTTCACAATGCAGTCATTTTTACTGCTTTTGGGTAATATAGGTATATACTAAGTTTCAGTCTTTCTAGTGTTAATTTGGGTTTTTACAAATATCACTTTCTAACATCTCATGTCTAATGTGCATTCTTTCAAATCAGTCTATGCAGAATTGTTGAAATGAAATATTAAAGGGCGACATGACTTCATTTTATTAAATCTAAATTCTTAAATCTTCATTGGAATTGTTCTCAGCAGGTGGTTTAATTTAATAGAAAATTCTTATATTCGTGCAGTTAAGCAAATGTGGCTTGGGCGAAAGATGAATGACGGAGCACGTGGAATCACGGCTCATCGGCCTGGTCAGACTTCCATCCGCCGCGGTGGAAGGAGCACGCTTTTCCCACGGATCCCCCCGCTGCGCGGCGTCGCGAAAATTTCTCCGGTTTCACATCCTCGTGTTACATAAAAATCCGAGCACGGAGCCGCGAGCGCTGCGCATCTTATCGGAGTTTCTCTCGAGCGTCCTTTTCGGTGCGGCTCGGCGTCAGACCCGCGCAGCGTACGACGCAAAACTAATTGCCGTTTCTTGCTTCGGCCGGCTAGACTTTTCCCTGAGAATTCGTTCGTCACGGTGTTCATCGAATTTCGCAAGTCGAGCGAGTTTAATTGCATGAGGTAACGCGATGCCTCGCAGGAAAGTCGGAAAAGTTGCATTATCGAAATCGTTCAGAATTAGACCAACACGAGTTTGCAAATAAAACACGTCCGTGGGAATAATATGCGAATGTATCAGTCGAACAATGGGTCTCTATGAGAGGAATAAACGTGGTACAGAGATAGACGGAGGACAACGACGAGACACGAGCAATTTCGATCCGACTCGCTCACGAGAAAATTGGTTTATCAGGGTAACGTAGGCGAGCGATTAGAACGAGCTAGTTCGACCGATCGATCTCGATCGATTCCTAGGCAAATGTACGGCCGCCGGTTTCCACGAAAAACGCCGGGCAATTCCGAAACGAGGTCAGAAACTGGCGTACGTGTCTCTCTCGCTGCACCTCGAACGGAACGGGTAAAGGTTCCAATAAACGCACAATTAATAGGCTGCGAACGTTATTACTCAACCGTCGTCGCACCGTGAACCGATCGATTGCACAATGGTATCGTTCGTTAAATAACTTTTCAATCCCTCCCTCCGTTATTACCCGAAACGGTTTTCCACCGATCGATTGCGCAACGCGAATCCTTAGAGATGATCGACGATTAATCGATCAAAGGGCGAAGCGACGTGTATAACTCGCCGACGGGCTAATTGACTCGGGCGGCGAGCAATCGATCAAGCCACCGTTTCGAGGGTGGCCGAGGAACCGAAAGAGTCGACGCCGGCGACCGTCTCGCTTTATATATACCTATTCCAAACCGGTCAGGGCTGACACCGCGCGAAATGACACGGCACGCGGGCGACTTTCGCGATAGACCGGTGAATTTTTCGCGAACGCTAAATAATATAATGGCTTTCACTTCGCGCGAGCCGGAAAACTAGCCGGCCGTGATACAAGCTCGCATGTAATCGTACACGCATACGAAACGTTTTCTTTGTGACGTTTCAATTTTCCAACTATCGCTGGTGTCATCATGATAGAAAATGGAAAGATTGTTTGATTTTTATAACAATTTTGGAACACTTGGAAGTATTTGCAGATTTCGCAATTCTTAATATACTTGATATGACGAAATTGTTTAACGTGTAAAAACGATTCGATCGAGGTAGTAGATGATATTTGAGAAAAGTATCATGTGCTGTAATTGAGGAAGGCGAATGTGCGATGTGCACATACGCGGCGAAGCCACGAGGCTTTAATTAAGTTTGATTTAATTAGCATTACCTCGATCGACGTGGCACGTCGCGAGATTAAGTCATCCGCCCGTTTTCCCATGGTCGTCACTAGCCTTTTCCTTTCCCTCCTCTCTTTCGGTTTTACCTTAATCTGATCGCTCGGCTAGCATTGAATCGCGATGATACGCGCGATAACCGTCTGCCCGACCGTAACTCTCTGGCTGATCCAAACACGCTGCTATTTTATCAATGATTTTTCTGACACGAATCATCGGCCGCATCGACGATTGTAACAATTATGCAGAAGAATCGGTAGAACGTTATCTGGACAAATTTATCTCCGGCGAGCGAGACGCAGCCGAACGACGGGTTCACCTCGTCTCTTTGTTCCGTAATGGCAACGCCAGATGGTTAGATCTGTAGTTTGTCCGATAGACTAGAACCGAATGAAAAACGTGCGCGCCGATAATGGGGCCACTTTTATCGAGTGAATTTCACCCAATAATTAACCGAACGTCGAATGTTTCTCGCTTTAACGGCCGGCCGTATACGTAACGTGGACTTAACGTAACGCAGCTGAACGCAACAAGCCGGGGCATTTGCATTCCCATCGCAGTGTGTATCGATGCTTTCTCACAGGGCTATTCGTCTTGATCTAACAAATGGATCTCGGGAACAGATTTCGATTTCCCTTGAGCGTCTTGATTAAAGGAGACGAAACGAGAACACGAACGCAACTATGTTTCCATTCCCGAAGCTGTTTCATTAAAATTCAGTGGAGCCCGCGGAGATCTGCATAGAACCGAGGCGCGGTGATAGAACGATTGCGACCGGTTCCCATGAAAACTACCAACGCTCTGAGTCGCTTGAAAAAGTTCGTTTGAAACGAGCCATTGGCGTAATTCAAAATCGTCCACCCGCGGCCAAGGGTGGCAACCCCTGACTCTTATGCTTTCGATCCAGGGTTTCCCGTCGCATAATGCAACGACTCTGCGGCTGGGATTAGTAGGTTGAGGTAATAAGTGACAAGCGACGGCGGCAATCTATTTAGAAAAGAATTCAGGTTTCTTAAGGCCATTCAATGACCCGTAATTCCAACTCTTTTAGAGCGTTTCGCGTTCGCCGTTAACGCTGGAAACTCGTTTCCGATGCGAGGGGGCCCTCGTTTCGCGTAACGAGCCGGGCCATAATCTTCTGGACCGGGCGGTGTCACCATTCTTGGATCTATCCGCTTTCTTTCGCTCCCATCGTCTCCAGGAGAAAAAGGAGCTTCAACGGTTACTAGAAGATCGCCACCTCTGAGATTTTAATTTAAAAACGTGGACGATTCTCTTCGGACAAAATGTTTCAGGGCTAACCGCGTCGCGCTTTTGCAATCGAAACTTTTCGCAAGTGTATTAAAGGTTTTGCCCTTTAACCATCGATCTTCGTTTTCCTGTTTCTTTATTGCGTCACCCGCGACACCTCTACTTTAGCCAAACGTATTAGGCGTTTTAAAAGAAACGTGAAATTATACAACCACCTCAAAGGTTATTTGTTTGAATAATTTCATTTCTAATGGCTGGGTAACGTTGGTATTGCGTCATCGTTCGTTTCGTCCTTGTCGAGCATTCTTGCAAATCAATTTATCCAGTGGATGCGGTTCGATTAAGGGATAATTGAGAAAGTGGCAACGCATCGTTTGCACCTGTGCCGTTTGGAAGAAGTTCGTGACGACTGCAAATGTTCCCAAGCAGCAACGGCGCGGCACCACGCCTGGCACCACGAGAGAGTTGGGTATCGTAGGTGACCAGGTAACCCGGGTGGTGTTGCACTTGGTGTGGCCTGCCGATGTGGATGCCGGAGCGTGTAGGCTAAGAGCGTGGTGGGGTGCCGGGTGGAGTAGGAGGCTGCTCTCCCGGCCCGTTGAACACGGACGAGGAGGCCCCGTTGGAATACCCGCGGACACGGCAACCTCTTGCGAGTGAAGTAAGTAAGCGCTGCGTGTGTCGGGCCGCGGGAAAACGGGGGGAGCCCCCCTTTCGCCCCCGAAACCAGCCGGTGGGACGGTGACTCTATGCGCGGGTCCGTGCTAGCCGCTGGTACGACGTGGATTATAGTTTTTCTGGGGGGAGGGTGGTGGAGCGCGTTGCTTTCGAAAGGATGGTGATTGTGGAGCGTAGCCAGAGTAGAGTTAGGCGTATATAAGGCCCGCCGGCCCGGCCCAAGTCAGTCATTCACCGGACTACCAGCCCACCATACACACACCAAACATGAAGGCCTTTGTGAGTATCCACAACGGGGTTGGTGATTTCGTGGGGTGTCACTTCGTTCGGATATTCGCGGTTCTCCTTTATACGTCAAGCCTCTGTCGTTTGCATTTTGATCCATGATCTCATATAGACTCATTTCCGTTTCTCTCCGGAGTAATCGTTCAAAATTTTCGTCTTCGGGAGACTTTTCGAGCCCTGTTTTCGTTCGTAGTTCGCCAATTGTGGACCATGAGAAAGTTCGATCGTCCCTTCGCTCGAGATATTAGAATAGCTATAGTCTAACCGGGACCTTTGATCGTTCACCGGGTCGAAGTTCGAAAGCTCTTTCAATGTCACGGCTCTCGGGACTCGCCGCGGTACCAGCCGAACGCAAATCGACTTTGCCCTTCTTACGCGCTTCCATTCATGCAGCAAGAAGTCTCGTCGCACGGTACATTGACCGCGGAACTGGTTGTAGTAGTATCATCGTCATTGAGTATCACCGACCGGTTCTATTCCCGTCGCCTCTTCATTCACGACCGCTACGTCTCGTTACATCTTTCCTCCGGTTTCCCTCTCGGTTCACCCCTGAAAAACGATTCACTAGCTCATTTCTCGTCCGTTAAACATTTCGTCTCGTTTCGCAAAATCGTCGTTAACGTCGACTCGAACCTTTCGCCGGTTAGAGCAACGGCGTCGATCTCGCACGGTTTCATAAATCCTCGCACGACCTATGCAAACGATCGTTTCGAAACGAACCAACATTTTCCGATCACCGGGTCGCGGGAACGGTTCGGTCGCACGGGTTACCTCGGGTCTCCGCGTAAACGGGATGTGAAAGTTTCGCGAAGTCGTTCGATATGCATAACACCGGAGCACCATTTCAAGCAAACTGGCCGCGACACGCTCTTCCGTCGTCGTCGTCGTCGTCGTCGTCGTGAAAAACCGTTTCGGAGCTGAGCGATTAAACTAGATTCCCGATTCTCTTCCACGTTCGTTTCACTCATTTTCTCCTCGCGATCCCGCGCGGTTCGCGGTAAGAACCGGTCGTTCGCTGTAATAGGAAGAAAAATTGCTCGGGGAATTCCGTCCGCGCTAACTCGAAATCGTGATTGCTAAAAAGAAACAGTCGGGTTTAAAAAAAAAAAAAAAAAAATAGATTATGAATATTACGTTTGCGATCGTATAGAAACGTGAGCGAAATTTTTCACGGGTCGGCCTATAAAGCGGATACCCCGAGGGGAAATAGCTTCCCCTAATATGGTACCCGCGCGGTTGTCGATAAATCGGAGTAGGGGTAAAATCGGTTAACGACGCGAAAGCGTAATCGTTCCGAATTGCGAAACATTACGACATTTTTCCTAAATACAACGCGTCTCGCGGAATCGTTGCGCAACATCAGCCGACGTACTTTGACATCGATAACAACGGGTCGCGTCGACGCTTTCACGATTTAAAGCTGATCTGAACGATTTTCCCAGCGGGGAATCGTTTCCCGATGCCTTATAATCGAGTCGCTGTACTACTCGCGGGTATCTAGCGATCGAAAGTGAAAGCCGCGGTTATGCTAGACGCCGCGGCTCGCGGTAATCGGTGCCAAGCCAATGGAAGTACGAATTCGCCGCTTCCGTAAACCGAGGATACATCGTCTTCGTTGCTTTTCCGAACCGGTGATTTCACTCGTTACGTACAATCATTTTAACGACTATCTCCTGATGCAACTTCGTTTCGATCGGCTGAACGTTTGATAAAGTCACGCTTACGTTTTACCTGGCCTGGTCGCAGATTGTGTTCGCCTGTCTGGCAGTGGCGACGGCCCGCGCCGGAATCGCACACGGTCCTGGCCTTGCTTACGGAGGAGGCCTTGGAGGCCATGGCGGCGGCATTGGTCTTGCCCTGGGCGGAGGAGGAGGTGCTAGCCTTTCTGGTGGACTTGCTGCCGGTGCTGGTAGCGCGAGATCCCTTCAAGAGGGAGCGTCCAGTTTGGGATCTGCAGCCCTCGGTGCCAGCTACGCCGCTGGATCCGCGGCGGCGGCTGGAGCTGCTGGTGTTCAACAGATCGTCTCTGGTGGTCCGTACAAAAAAATAGATACGTGGAGAAATTATCTGGACAGGTTTTTCGAAACGGGAATCGTTTCTGTCGCGCAGGAGTGACCGGTGGAAGGGCTGACATTGGACCCGCCGAAGGACCCAAGGCTAACGTTGGACCCCAGAGCGGACCTTATGACAGCGTAGGACCTCAAGAAGGTGCCAAGAACATTGGTGGACCTCGTACTGGACCTGCTGGCCTTGTTGGACCCGCCACTGGACCATTCACCTCTGTGGGTGCTTCTGCTGGTACCTCCACTCTTGTGGGACCGTCCCAAGGAACCGCTAACTTGGTAGGACCGTCCTACGGTGGAGTCGCTTTCTATGCTGGAAGTGGTAACATCAACGGTGACGACGGAAGCTCTGGCTCTGCTGCCGCTGCTGCGCCAGCTGGTCTTGGCGGTGCTGGTTTCGGTGGTGCTGGTCTGTATTCGATCGTACCGTTGGATAATAATGACATTAAGCCAATGAAACGATCGGTATACTAACTTTGACTGGTTGAATGATCTCAGGTGCCATCGCTGTTGTGGGAGGAGGTGGTGCCGGACTCGGTGGTGGTCTCGGCGGACACGACGGTGGTGTTGCTGTGATCAACGGACCGTCTGGCGCCATCCACGCTGGACTCGGCTCCCACGGAGCTATCTACTCCGGCAAGTACTAGACGTTCTAAGGCCCCAGCGATCTCGGCTCGGCGACGGCGGCAAACCCACCACAGTCACTTACCGGTCTCAAACGATCCTCAAACGCGCTCAACGTCTTCTTCCCAAAGCTTCGTCCAACCTAGGAGCATGGTTATTAGCGCCCAGCGTTAGTGGTGTAGTCGGTATACAGTCGGAATAATTATCACGCGAAATCGCAAGGTCGAACGTCGGTATATACCGAGGTACACGGTGGAGCGCGTGTTTGAGAGCCCGACGTACTTGCTCGTACCCCCTGTTGTCATCCACGATCACGGGTTTAGATCTCGGTATAAATAATATAATATAATAATAATAATAAATAATATAATAAATAATGAGAGTGTAACCACAACCGTGGGCCCCCGGCCATTCGTGATTCCGCGGTAACCCGTTTCGTCACAAAACCCTCTCTCTGCCGACGACGCGACTCGTCCCCATCGTAACGGCGAGGCACGGGTAAAATTTAGTCAATTTCTATTTCTTTCATCAATTGTAATCGTGACAGAGGGAGTCGAACGGAGCTGCGATTGCCAGCCATGGTTGCATTAAGACTCGCGACAACCGGACACCTTGTTGTCGCCGCACACGACGAGCCCCGTTTATCAATGGATCGGCAACGCGTCGAGTCTCGTCGAGAGCTTTCCGTGTAAACAACTCCGAACCGCGCCTGGCACACGTTGGACTCGGCTGTTCCGCCATGGACCCGGCAAGTGGACAAGCTTTGGCGCTTCGTCGTTGGACCAACTGGGTCTGTTCTGTTTTCTGAACACCCACCGTTGCTCCCGGCAGTATCTCTGTCCCTTCTCTATTTTTTTTTTTACATTTTTTTCTCTATCGCCACTTACGTCTTCCACCAAAAAACAGCGTAAGGTCGCCGCTCTTCACACACATATATTTACTATTCTCTCTCTTTTTTTTTTTATTCTTCTCTTCTCCCTCTCCGTTGAGCCGCGGACGATCGACTCCCACGAGCCGAGCGGCCCCGCGCGCTCACAAGTTGTTATACTCACTGCCGCACTCAAGCATACATATTATTATTACATTACTCGTCTCCATGCGCATATATGTTTTCTCTTTATATATATACATGTATACATACTATTACTACTACTTCCTGCGCGTATATATATATATATATGAAACACATTTGCCACACGCGCGCACACACACTATCGCTATATGTGTACTCGTATATATACACACACTACACATTATATTATATAATCGTGTTATATGTTAGTCGAAAAGAGAGAGACCGGTAGATTATGGTAGGTCAGCCCTTCCCGTGAATGAATCAATGTAAATAGATGGTGCGCCGCTGCCGGCCCCCGACCCCGCCCGCCCTCGTCATACCCTTTCTTTGCGATCACGACTAGCACCCCACCACCACCATAGATAGATACCACATATTTATAGCGTTTATACATTTATACAATACTTTATATAAAATAAAGCATCAGTATTTAAAACTCACCCTCTTTTCAATTATTTACACCAGCGATCTGATCATCGATTATTCTATCCTTAATTCATGGAATTAATCTTATATTCGAAACGATTGTTGATACGCTTCATTTATGGAGATTAATAATTTAGTAATTGCGAATCGAGGCGACCGTGTCGATATTGGATAAATAATTAAAGTAACATTCACTTGATAATTGAAAGAGCATTCATTCAAAATTATGGCACAATAATTCCTGAAAGTGGAATGTATCCAAATTTAATTCGAAAAGTGAGATCGTGAATGCAATTAACCGTGCCAAAACGATTCTCTGTGCCCGCATACCGATTGGGAAAGGTTCGGGATAAAAACGCTTGGTCAATTCCTTTTACGCTTCTCCCCTTTCCTAAGGGAGCAACGGTAACGAAACACACTCGATTCCGGATCGCTACAATTCAGCCGGCGAACGGTACGTATCTGGTTGCTAACGACAGATTTGTCAACAGTCCGTAAACTCGTTAGAAAGTCCCCCGAATCGAAATTGCCCGTTTACGCGCTAATGACGCACGAACGCCGTAAGTCGCGTGCTACGGCAAGTGAAATTTTCATCCACTACGAGACAAGTTGCGCTCGACTCCATAAAGCGGTGGCAACGGTTAATCCACTTGCTCGTTGATGGCACTTAAATTGATTCGCGAAAGACGCGACGGGCCGGAGGACGGCGACGCGTCGTCGTCGCCGCAACGGTGCGTAACACAAGTTTAACAACGTGACGACAGCCGTGAATGATGAGCCGTCGCGTCGCGGAAGGAATTTTACGCCGCTAATACCCGGTTGATGTCTTTAGTTTGGATCATGCGTTTCGAAAGTTCAAAGGTATTCGCTTCTTGTGGTTAGACCGTAGGACGTGACGCAACTTCCTGATCTTGTATAATGTGATACGCCGTATCATATATCATACTGTATTATGATATTAAAGCTCGTTAGAATAAATCATTATGTAACGTCAATCTCGGATGAAAACTCAATAAATCCTGTCGTACGATACAAGGCGTTACATGAAAAGTTGTTAAAACTAAATAAGTTTCCCTTCATTAATGCCCAAAATATTTTCTTCCAAGATCTTCCACTTAAGAAATCACAATTTCATTCTACCTGTGTCAAAATGTGAACATGAGAGCTCTTTAGATTTAAGATTGTCGACTTTATATGTAACAAAAATGGTCGTTTGTTCTCAGTAACATCGGCCACCCTGTACATATATTATATGAAACGTTTCACTGTTTGAACTAATTAAAATTCAGTTACACATTCCAGAAGCTGGAACAAGCTAGGAGTGGCTTAAACAGGACAGTACACGGGGGTCTTAAACAAGAGAACCCGGAAACAGTGCGCATCGGAAGTGAAGCCAGGCTGATTACTCGAGTCTCGCAAAGGTAATCCTAAACCAGCGACGATCGTCTTTCTAACGCCGCGATACACTTGGCGAACTGTAATTGGCTTGCCGATGATTACACAGGAAACTGGCCACCGAGGGTGGACAAAAATTGTTAGCAAGAGGCTTTGTGGAACAGTATATAGTTGTACACCGAGCTGAGCGAGGGAATCCTTGCAACAGTGACAACAGAGACGACTCGTGCGAAATCGACCCAGAACAAGTGGACGTAATGGTATCTTTGACGCATACCAGAACTTTGCCACAATTTACCTCGTATTTTGACTACAAACAACAAATATTACTATTATTACACATTCATGGAATTAATTCGATTCTATGGAATTTGTTGAACATGGAACATGGAATTAATTCTTATATTCGAAACGATTGTTGATACGCTTCATTTATGGAGATTAATAATTTAGTAATTGCGAATCGAGGCGACCGTGTCGATATTGGATAAATAATTAAAGTAACATTCACTTGATAATTGAAAGAGCATTCATTCAAAATTATGGCACAATAATTCCTGAAAGTGGAATGTATCCAAATTTAATTCGAAAAGTGAGATCGTGAATGCAATTAACCGTGCCAAAACGATTCTCTGTGCCCGCATACCGATTGGGAAAGGTTCGGGATAAAAACGCTTGGTCAATTCCTTTTACGCTTCTCCCCTTTCCTAAGGGAGCAACGGTAACGAAACACACTCGATTCCGGATCGCTACAATTCAGCCGGCGAACGGTACGTATCTGGTTGCTAACGACAGATTTGTCAACAGTCCGTAAACTCGTTAGAAAGTCCCCCGAATCGAAATTGCCCGTTTACGCGCTAATGACGCACGAACGCCGTAAGTCGCGTGCTACGGCAAGTGAAATTTTCATCCACTACGAGACAAGTTGCGCTCGACTCCATAAAGCGGTGGCAACGGTTAATCCACTTGCTCGTTGATGGCACTTAAATTGATTCGCGAAAGACGCGACGGGCCGGAGGACGGCGACGCGTCGTCGTCGCCGCAACGGTGCGTAACACAAGTTTAACAACGTGACGACAGCCGTGAATGATGAGCCGTCGCGTCGCGGAAGGAATTTTACGCCGCTAATACCCGGTTGATGTCTTTAGTTTGGATCATGCGTTTCGAAAGTTCAAAGGTATTCGCTTCTTGTGGTTAGACCGTAGGACGTGACGCAACTTCCTGATCTTGTATAATGTGATACGCCGTATCATATATCATACTGTATTATGATATTAAAGCTCGTTAGAATAAATCATTATGTAACGTCAATCTCGGATGAAAACTCAATAAATCCTGTCGTACGATACAAGGCGTTACATGAAAAGTTGTTAAAACTAAATAAGTTTCCCTTCATTAATGCCCAAAATATTTTCTTCCAAGAGATTGAAATTAATTAAAAAATTAATGATAAATCGACTCTTAAAGAAATGTATCAAAATTTAGAGTCAATCGATTGTATTAAAACGTATTTGAAAGAACGTGACAGAAAATCATTGGAATCATCGAATTCCCAATTTGTGATCGAAGATCGATTCAAAGTCTGATCGACCACTACTGAACCGTCATATTCAACAGAGAGGGTCGGACTAACCAGCCGAGCACGGCCACAAATACGGCTCTAACCGCTGCTAAAAGGGCTTTAAATCTCTCCCAGGTTCGCGAGCAGGTGGTCCAAGCTTTTCGAGAGCCTGCAGCTGACCACGAATAAAATAAAACCCGTTGGATGCGTGCTAACCTGCGGAGCACCGATAGAGACCGCTACGACGGGCCCAAGGAGTCGTTGAACGATGCAACGAAAAAGACAAAGCCCGTTTCAAGTTGGTTTTATTGTTCGCTTCCCGGTGAAGTATCTTTATCCTATATCGATTACCTATAACTGTCTTCCGCACGGGCAATGCACTTCACCAAGGGATAAAGATCCCCAAGGGGATTCGCGCTGGCCACTTGCATCAGTTACCAGCAAAATACCAAATGTGACAATGTATGCATTGCCAAAATGTATCAAGATAACCTACTGAGGTATATTGCAATATTTTCCTTAAATACTTTAACCCATTCGCTGCCAAGCCTAAATTATATGAAGTCATTCCTATTGCCATTTATATTTTGAGTGCTATTGTTTACCAAAACCCTGTTATTAGCCAGCGAATGGGTTAAACCAGAGAAACTGTACATCACTACTTTATTTGAATAAAAATTCTTTATTCCACGAATCTGAAATTTTTCAGAGTAGACTAGAAAACGAATAATTATTAAATGAAATGCTTCATGTATTAGCTAAAATCAATGGAAACTAATTGGGCAAACGGAGTCAAAGGTGGGGACGAGTTATTGTCAAAAGCCAATGCTTTCAGGGTTCGAGTCGGATCATCCCTAGGCAATCGTTTGAATAGGCCGTGAACAGCGCTGCTTTCACGGTTCTCTCGCGAGCCATTTGCCATGATTCATCGCGCCGGGTAATGAATCTCTGTCAGAGATTTTTACTTTCCACGCGGAAGCGAGCCTGCCTCTGCGAAACATCAAACTTGACGCGCTTACGTACAGCTTCACCGTATACGAATTAGCACTTGATATAGCTGACGACTGCAACATCGGGAATATTTTTTATACTCTTCGTGGTGTTACATAGCTGTTGGAAAGGATGAATGACTGGAAACAGAGTGGAAAAGCCTAGTGGAGTATTTATTGAAACAATGGAATAAAGTGGGGCGATGAGATCGTTTCATCTTCCTTCAGATGACGCGTCAGGATTACGGTCTGAAGAAATTAGAGAAGAGCATGCAAAGTGTGCTTTGCCTATTCATTAAATCGAAATATCGAATCTCATTGAGACTCCTCATTGAGAGAGTAAGTGTAATATTTAAAATCAGAACTCCATACACTATTACAAAATTCAAATCCAACCATTCGAGCTACAACAGAAATTAAGTACAACAATAGAAAAATTGCATGAAGGAGCATAGAATTAGAGGATGGGCAAACCGGAACTTCTTTTGCACTTTGCGGGCCAGAAAGAGAACAGGTAAGTAAAGCTACTCTACAATTTCATCGTTAAACCGTACGGAACGGATTTCGTAATTACTGGCAACGACGAGGAGAAGAGAAAAACGAGAAGAGACGCTGACGGCAGCGAATCCCAGGCGTGGTCCTTTCACTCTCGGCCGGGGCCGGGGCGCGCGATTCCTACACGCGAATTCCCAGATGAAGAATCTGCTTAGCAGGCTCGCGATTCGCGCCAGCTTTTCCAGCCAAGGTCACTCCGTCGCTGAATCACCGACGAGACCGTGTCAGTCACGTCGAGCACCGAGCACCGCGATTCTCACGTCTCGAGTGGCTGCCGGTTCGATTGCACTCGAGATCTCGAAATTCTTGAAGCTTGCGCCAGTTCCTTATCAATCATCGAATTTCAAGATTCATTCGACATCAATCGAAATCTATTAATTTCTTCATAAAATTGGTG